CCCCGACTCTGTTCAGAGTGGTCCCACTCTACTAACCTGGTGGGACTAGTTTTAACCGGGGACTATTGGAGGATCGTTATTCGAGGCTCGAATTTGACCAACAAAAGTATATAAATCTTACTTTCGAGACCTATGTGGGACGGGGGGAATTAAGGGATCCAAGAGGAGGCCGAAGGAGGGGTAGAAAAAGAAAAGGGAACAAAAAAAAAAAGAAATTGAGGAAGAGCAGAAAAAAATAGAGAATGCACAAGGGCTGGAAACAAAATGGGAAAATAAAAACCTGAGGCTTATCATAAATCTAGGCAACTTCACCTCCAGGCCAAGATCATGCAAGTAGTGTTCGCATAGGTTGTACCCCTGGACTGTGCGTGCCGTTTCGAAAACAAACTACGCGTTGTGCACCCGTGCCCTCAGGATAAGTCAATACGCCTGAACCGCGCGTGTCGTTTCAACCTCGCTCCGACGCCTTTTCAATTCAAAATTTTCTCCAAAGAGGCACCTGCTAGTTTTACATGTGCAGCAAGGACTGCGGCCTCCTATGGGCAACTATCGGTCCTCCGGAATGACACATACCCAGTTGGGCAATGTGTATGGAGCCAAGGATCTGCAAAGTGATGAAAAAAATTGGAATGGACAATGCAATGTCAGCAAAGCATCAACAAACAATGTATATCCCGATACATACAGAATGACACAATGTAGCGCAGTAGAAAACTCAAAGATAAGACCCGACCTGTTTGAGACTGACGCGACATCCCATCATACACCAAACATGTGAGAGAGAGAGGAGGGACCGCATACATGGAAGAAAGGTGCATCCTTGTACATGCACATGGGGGAGATACCACGGATGAGAGATGGGGGGAGAGGCGAGACGAAGAAGGAGACGAGGGAGAAGACCAAAATCACGATAACGAAGTAAAAAAATAGTCCCTTGTCGAATGTCCAATCAATGCCTGCCAAAAAAATGTCGAATCAAATCCTGAGTTATATGGCCGATGTAACCTCTGCCTGTAATCTCTCTCTCCCTCTCTCGCTCTGAAGAAGAAGAAGACGACGACGACGACGAAGAAGAAGAAAAAGAGGAAGAAGAAGAAGAAGAAGAAGAAGAAGAAGAAGAAGAAGAAGAAGAAGAAGAAGAAAGAAGGAGGAATGAGGGAAATGAGATAGAGGGCGAGACGACGACGAAGAAAAAGATATCGTCCTCCTCGCCGTCTCACCTGTAGGTAACCGCTGCCATGCACTGATTATCGTCGTCGTCGTCGTCAGGTTCAAGTCGTGCGTGAAGTCTCAGCTATGGCGCCAAGTAAGTTCTTTGCTACCGTGACAGGTATGACTTCCGCCCTTCTGCCTACCTACGCCTCTACCTCTAACCTCCACGTAGCGCTGTAGTCCCAACGCTGCTCTAGCAGCGTGTCGCCCAAGAAGTGAGTTACTCGAACTTTCTGTCTGCTCAGCCGCGGCCCAGCTATATCTAGTGCTGGACCCGGCTACGTGCGTTGCAGCGTGGCCTGAAAACGACCCACGTGGTCGGGGCCCGTACCGGGTGTCCTGACGATACTGCTGATGCAGAAGGGCACAAAAACGCGTCTGACCTCTATTGGCCCTGCCTACTAATGTACCCAGTTTAAGGCCTCGCCTTGGGGACTGCAAGTCCGAAACGACATCTGAACAGACAAAAATAGGACAACAACTACATAAATAAATGTTGTCACAAAATCGCGCCTGCGGCCTAAGGGCCGCCTTGGGCCTCCAGGGCGTGTGTCTGATGCGCATGCGGCCTGGGGGTCCTCAGCAACTGTCGGGGCCCTGAAATGAGGCCCGTGTGCAGGCGCAACATATAACAGCAAACAATAATTGTCCGACCCCCTCAAAATTGGCCCCCAAGCAAATTGATGGTCTTTCGAACGACCATATGGACCTGTGCGACCAGTACGACCAAACGACAAAAAATTGATTGACTTACCATGAGGGCACGGGTGCACAACCTGTAGTTTGTATATGCTTGGTTGATAAAGAAGGCGCTATTTGGTGAGATTTAGAAGAAGGGTGATTGTTGCATGAAAAAAAAAAAGTATTTGTTTGTATGTGTCAGATTTTGTGTGTGTGTGTTTGTGTGATACTTAGGGTGTTTGTGTTTATCACATCTGTTAGTGTTGGAATGTGTGGGATTTAGGTAATTTG